TCCCTCAGCACCCGCGGATGAAGGTCATCTGGACTCGCTGACTTGGATACATCTAAGCCCTCCAGGTAGTCCTTAACTAGGTCCGAACTAACAGTCGGGGGACTCGCATCCTTCCCAGGCCTCTCTATGCTATCACCTGAGAGCACCCCATCATCAGCGGACAGGAACATGGAGGCAAAGAACTTGTTGAAGAGTTCTGCCTTCTCTCGCGCGTCCATCACCAACTGCCCTGCCCTGCCCTGCCTTGTAGGGGTCCAATGTTACCCCGAGACTTCTTCTTGCTACCTATATACTTGAAGAAGGACTTTTTGTTATCCTTAATCCCAGAAGCTAATCTAAGCTCCAGTGCTGCTTTAGCCTTCCTCACCAAATCCCTACAAGCTCGGGTCAGGGAGGTGTACTCCTCCTTTGTACCTGCCCCCTGCTTCCACCACCAGTATGCTTTTTTCTTTGCCCTCAGGCCAGCCTGGATATCCGCGCTCAGCCATGAAGGTTTCTTGGACTCTTTTCCTGCCTTCCTGCGCAGAGGAACTGCATCTTGCTGCGCCCAAGGATAGCCTCCTTGAATGAGGATGAGCCTCACATGAGACTGGGACAGCAGCAATTTGAGCTGGGGAGGAGCAGGCCCCTGGTTGGCTGGGCTGACTGGGTGCAATTTACGCCCATGGTCAGTATCTATATGTGCGTTTCAGTGCGGTAACTTACTCTGCTGTAAGATAGGACTGTCCCCAACAGTCCTATCTTATGGCAGAGTTAATTAATTTACTGTACCTGAACAGTGGCGTGTGTGTAGACAGCGATGCTTTACTGCTCAGCTAATTAGCCTACTCTGCAATGAAGTGCATGTGGAGATGCACTCAGTGGGTATGTCTACGTGTGCCCCTGACTGCACAGTCCCAGCAGTGCATGGGTTGTTTCCAAACCTATGTCGCCATAGCAACGAGCTATGTCACTAACTCATCGCTATAGCAACACAGCGTGTCGTGTAGACGTGCCCAGTGTGTAGTTACCTTATGGAAGCCTTTGCCAATGATCAAAGGGAAGCTGGGTGACAGCGACCACGAGCTGATCACCTTTACCATCTGCTGTAAGGCTGGCAAGTCAGTCAGCAATACAGAAGTCCTCGACTTCAGGAGGCTTGTCAGTCAGGCCCTAAAGGACCCCAACCCAAAGGGGAGGGAAGTTCAGGACAAGTGGTTGCTCCTCAAGGAAGCAATCCTGGATGCGCAAGCACAGTCTATCCCATCTCGGAGGAAAGGCAGCAAAACAACACAGCAGCTCCCTTGGCTCAGCAAGGAACTAGTGGACCTCCTGCGTCTTAAAAGGAAGACCTACAAAGGATGGAGGACTGGAACCACCACCAAGGAGGAATACTGTGCTCTGGTCCACACCTGCAGAGAGCAAACCAGGAAAGCGATGGCTGTGGTGGAACTCCAGCTAGCTACAAATATCAAGGACAATAAAAAGTCCTTTTTTAGATATGTGGGGAGCCAGAGGAAAAGCAAGGACAACATTGGACCCCTGCTAAACCAGAGGGGACAACTGACAACCAATGCCCATGAAAAAGTAAACTTGCTAAATGCGTACTTTGCGTCAGTTTTTCACCAGTCCCAAGGGACACCCCTGCCCACTGTGGGTCAGGGATGCCTGGGTGAGGGAGGTTCCTTACCATCCATCGAAGCTGACCTCATGAAGGAACACCTTGACAGGCTGGATATCTTCAAGTCAGCTGGCCCTGACAGTTTACACCCCAGGGTACTCAAGGAGCTGGCGAGCATCATAGCCCAGCCCCGGCATGGATCTTTGAGAGCTCCTGGCGCTCTGGTGAAGTGCCTGAATATTGGAAGAAGGCCAATGTGGTGCCTATCTTCAAGCAAGGGAGGAAAGTGGATCCGGCAAACTACAGGCCCATCAGCCTGACCTCTATCCTGGGGAAGGTCTTGGAAAAGATTAT